CCTGTTATCTTCGTCAAACAAAAACAATTTACCCAATTAATATATTTGCTATAAAATAATGAGTTTGACAAAGATGAGTATCTCCATACAAATTATATATTTTTTTGATTGAAATGTTCATTTCTTGCCCCAAATTGACTGACCCTGTATCTCTTATGGATACCGAGATCCGCATACTTTCTCGCGAATTTGTAACACCCTGTATATGGTCCAATCCATTTTAAAAATTATCAATCATCCATTTACACTATCAAGGTTTGAGTCACAAAAAAATTACAATATTTTTTAGCAAATAAAAGCCTAATTTGAAAAAAGTATCTATCTCACAACAAATTCTTCAATAATTTGTCATCATATTCCTGTGTTATTGTTGTTGTCTGTCACATCTGTCTGTGATGATTTTTTTAAATTCAAACACGCGGTATATACAGGGTGTCTCCGTTCAACTCATCAAAAATGCTAGGAATTATAGAGGAACCATAGAGAAGTAGTTTGAGACAGGACATCGATGGTCGAAATTGCGTCGTTTCGAAAATACATGGTGTTGAAATTTAAACAACCTGCTTTCATAATCTGAAGGGCTAATGCTAGGCTGTTCAAGTTTTCAGGGATTATTGAATTAGAAATGATATTCAAAAATTCGTATAGTGCACCTTCATTTTCTACCTGGAACAACCCCAAAAAAATAAAAAATTTATTTAGAGAAAAATAGTTATTTATGCAACAAGTGTGTAAAGTGAACCTTTTTTCACGAATGTGAATTTTGACAATCACGTGAGTGAAAAAAGAGGCTTTACGCACGTATTGCATACAAAATTTTTTCTACTACCAATCAAATATGTGTAAAAAAATGAATTTGGACAAATACTTTATGCACTAGTGCGTGAAGAATTTTCACTTTACGCACTAGCGCGTGAAGTAATGTACCAGAAAAATGTCAAATTGACAGTGTTGACATCTGTCATTGACATTACTTTATGCACTAGTGTGTGAAGTGAATTACTTTACGCACTAGTGGTAGTAGAAAAAAACAATTTGTTTTTTTTTTTTTGGGGTGGTTCCAGGTAGAAAATGGGGGTGCATTAAAAGAATTTTTAAATATCCTTCCTATATCAATACACCCTAGCATTAGCCCTCCAGATGATATGAAAGGGGGTTGTTTAAATTTCAACACCCTGTATTTTGGATAACCTAGCATTTTTGATACCCTGTAATTGAAAAATTTAGATTTTATAGGTGACGCAGAGGAAACGCATGTTTCAAGTGTGATGAACAACTTTTAAGAGGGGTTGAAGATGTGTGACCCCAAAGCAGGACGACACTTTTTGACTGAAATTATTTTTCATTATTAATTGACTCGTTTATTGAGAAAAACACGATTATTACTTCATTTAGCTGTTCCTAATCGAGTACCTAATTGAAACAAAATTATCTTGGAAATAAAAAAATTTAACTACGTGAAAAACATGCTTTTCCTCTGCGCCACCCTGTACAACTGCTCAATCAGAGTACTGTGTAAAAGAAAGATAAAAAAACTCAATATTCTTTTTATTTATTAATTTAGTTTTGATATTTTGTTTTTTTATTCTAACTCAATTATTATACCAGAGTCCTCATTCTTGAAACAGGGGAGCAACGTTCCCAAGAGAACGAGTGCTTCGTCTTGCTCAATGATATGTAAATGATAATATACGTAATAAAGACGGAACACTCGTTCTCCCGGGAATGCTGCTCCCCTGTTTCAAGGATAAAGACCCAGAGCCGTTTTCTCCCGTTCACTTTTTTTCAACTGTATCAAAACAGGTTTGAAACAGTATATTCTCGCGATGAACCCGTGACGTCACATCAAAATTGGTCAAACCATATCGAAATACAAAACAATCCACATTTTAAAACCATTTTCTCGCGCCGAGAAGTTATGACGTCATGTGACATTGTTTTAAACCAGTTTTAAAAACGTTTTAAAACATTTGACACGTGAAAAAACACCTATTGTCTTAACACAATCATTCGCAATTCTTACACAATCAGTTACAAGTAGTCACAATCGTGACACAATCATTCACAATCGTGACAATCAGTCACAATCGCTCACAATCAGTCACAATCGCTCACAATCAGTCACAATCGCTCACAATCAGTCACAATCCTTATACAATCATTCACAATCGTACACAATCACTCACAATCGCACACAATCGCACACAATCTTAGCAAATTTCCTTAGAGATTGTGGAATTTGGCAGTCGGTGTTCACATTTTGGGACAGCTATTCACCCGTCGCTTATACTTTTACCTCACACTCAACGAGTTACCAGCAACACCACTACTCCTTCGGAGTCGTGGTGTTGCTGCGTAACGCGTTTCGTGACAGGTAAAAGTATTTTCCGATAATCCTGAAACCTCTTGTGGTATTACATTCGAAAATCCAATGACGGATTCATAAGGCTCGAAAAAAAAGAACGCGCTTTTTATTTTGTAATTGTGTGCGCCGAAACTCACGCATTTTCTCGGCGGCGCCACAAAAACTATAGAACATTTTCGAAAGTTTATTGGCGAAATATTTCGTATGTTTTTCTTGTTGTGTAAAACAGGAAAAGTTGACTTACGAAATATTTCGGCAACAATTTCGTGAGTAATTTCGTGAAGAAACTTTTTTGTCATTTTTTCTCCAAATTTCGCAGACAGCCCTAAAACTAGAGATGTAAGTTTTCATGAAATTTTCAAATTTGAAACTTTTCGTGAAACTTTTCATGAAAAGTTGAAACTTTTCAATTTTTTTTTGAAAAGTTAAGTACAGGAAGAATAGGGCCTCTAAAATTATTTTTTTGAAATGATAGGTATTCAATAAATTGAATTGATGAATAATATAATTTTTATCAATTATTCCTTTCCATTAAATCACAATATTGCGGTTGAGGATTGAGGTAGGTAATAAAAAAAATTGCGTAATAGTGAAAAAATCTGTTTTTCTATGACCATCAAAAAATAAACAACTTTTGTCATATTTTACCTTAGCCGAAAACGTCATTTTCGTCACTAGTGATGAAATATCCCATAACGTTAACTTTCCTCACTAGTGACGCAAGTGAATGATTAAAATTTTTCCTACAGCCGTGCGGAAAAATCGATTTTCCGCACTGATATGCGTGCGGAAAATGAGTTTCCCCGCACGGTGCGGTAAAACTTTTTTTTTTGACATATCAGTGCGGAAAAAGTTTTTCCACACGGCTGTCAGTGCGGAAAATTTTTTACCGCACTAATATGTCAAAAAAAAAAGAAAAATTTTACATTTTTACGCCTGTAGAAAAATATTGTACCTAACACTTGCGGAAAAATTCATTTTCCGCACTTGTTAGGTAAATAGCTATTACATGTTAAATACATTTTTTCAAATCCAATTATATTTCAATTCTGTGGAGCACAATGAAAAAACATAGTTCATAACAAAATTATGTAAATTTTTGTGATATATGTATACCGGGTGTCTACGAGATCAGTTTCGCGCTGGCATTTGCTGATTTTTTTTTCGATGGCAAAGATTTTTGGTATAGAGTGTAGGTTTGAGAAATGTCATATTTTGACATGTGTGTCAATGTTTGGTATCTTCCGGTTTGACCGGAAATGGTCCTAACTCCGTAATTTTAAATGGCATCCCAATCATTTTTTCGCATTTTTCGTATCTGCGGATCATGATGTGTACGAAAACGTCAAATTTGAACATTTTTGAAGAAATTTCAGAACTCTGGATGAAAATTTATTTTTGAACAGAAAGTGACGGAGCGGTCTTAAAATTGTTATTTTCAACCCACACAATCGTAAAAAAATGCGAGTGCCAAGATGTTATCCTTTGCTTGCTCTCCAAAGGCATCCAAAGTTGAAAAAATCACATTTTGCGTGATAACTCAATGAAATCAGTGAAATCACCCAACTTTCACAACAAGAGTTTTTTACCTTTTTCAAAATAAAACCAACTATGCATTGAAACTTTTCACATCCAACCATCACTCAAATGACTGTGTTTCATTTATAGTACCTATATTACAATTTTGCTTTATATAATGTAATAAAAGCAAAATATAAGTATAAAATTAATTAAAAACAAGAACTTTTCATAGATGGCGCCAGCTATCAAACCAAGTAGGAACCCTTGTAAAAAAAACATAAGTTTAACAGCAAAAATCAAAACATGGTCTTAGAAAAAGTATAGTGTTTTACTTGTCAAAAATCATTTTTTGCAACTTGAAAACAACTGTTTTTTCGTTGCAAAAAATGCTGTTTTCGTCACTCGTTAATTATTCTTTTGCTCACGACCATGACATCCATTTTCGTTTTAACAAACCTGGGACAAAGTCACAGAATGCATGATTCATGATCTTTAAACTTTTCACGAAATTTTGATAAGTTTTGAACTGTCTTATTGAAACTTTTCAATGAAATGAAATTTTATTGAAACTTTTCAGGTGAAACTTTTCACACTCACATCTCTACCTAAAACATCGTTCTAATCACTTTTTCCAAATTACTTTTTTCAAAATTTTGCCATCTATAATCCCACTTTTCGCGTTTCCATATCTAAATTTTCGAATTTGCTGCCACAACAGTGATCACGTGACCAATATCAAAATGTACTTTTAGGTTATCGGACATGCAAGATCGATCGCACATAAGAAAATATTCCATATTATCCTAAAAATAAAAAATTTCCCAATGTGTAGCGAACATTATGGGGGACACTGTATAAGGCGACTGTTCTCCCAGAAATCACAAACCAGTCAGAGCGAATTTCATTGGTTGAAAATAGTCAGAAAACTAGCTGTTGGCGATTTGCACCAATCAAAAACGCTCATCTTTATGGTTTGTGATTACTGTGAGAACAGACCTAGGCTTCGATGTAAGCGGACAATTAGAACTTATTCATATCCGCTTATACATAAAAGAGCTTTCTTTGGAGCTTCCACTCTTCAGTCTTATTGATAAACATCTTTATCATTTTTTAGGTAAAGGACACAATGTCAAAGGTGAAATTTACGAAGTCGACGAAAAAGTCCTGGCAGATTTGGACTTATTAGAAGCCCATCCAGACTTTTACATAAGAGACGAATACGATGTCGTAAATTTAACCAATCAAACTACCGAAAAAGTATGGATATACATGATAAAAACGTTTAGAAAAGAACTGCTACAGCAAACTTTCTATGAGAGTTACAGTAACTTTGACAGTCATGGGCTGAAATATGTTGCAAGGTATTTGAAAAGCGATACATGTGATCCTAAATCGCAAATTTTTCCTCAAAACGAAGAAAACTAAAGGTTTTTTATTTTTCAGTGCTGACGATTCATCATTGGATGATCTACAATAAATCAATGATTTTTGTATTGAATAAAGAATTGTTTTGTACAAATGTTTTATAGTAGTTATTTACCTATGCTATATCTATGCTCTTGCTCTTATGACTTCTACTTCTATACTTTCTTCTATCCAATCAATTATACCAACATTCCACTTTTTGAAAATTATTCTATATCCACTCCTTCTCTTACACATGTGACCATCATCAACTACATGAACCAAAGTAAAAGAATAAAAACACTCGGTGTGAAGTGAACCTAACATTTCAATTTTTGTTGAACGACAAAAATCGCTTAAACAGAAGTCTGACCTTGTTCAACCTTTATCCTTTGACTTATGAGACATTATACTCAGGCGTTCTCACGATTCGATTTTAGTTGGTCAACTTAATACAGATGTTTATGGTATTTTTCATATTATCATTTATGTCGGTTAATGGATAAGTATATGACTAATCTTCCAAATCGTTTCATCTCAATTCAACGCGATAACACAAAAATCACGACGAAACTATAGCCCTTAGCCCCATTACAACACTGCTCCACTACAATGAAGCAGGAATAATCTTTGATAATGGAGTCTTTGAAAGGCAAAACGAGGGCAAGAAAAACGAGCTTCTGACGAAATAATCTGAAACGATCAAGGAACTAATCTCTACGTGTCCAGATAAAACTAAGATAGTAGAAAGGAAACCCCCTATCTAGTTCTTGATGAATGAACAGTCTGAAAAACCTGGGTATTTGGGCATAATACCTATTTCTATTCACCCTAATAAATGCATATAATACATAGGTACCACAGAATCTATTTAAAAAAAAAATAAGACTTTAGATGGTTAATATGATTTATTAAAGCATACTAGTTACTATACATTTTCAATGGTTACAGGTATTGATATTATTCTGAAAAAGATAACATAATACATTGATATAAGCATTAGCAATAATATTTGAAGAAATCATTGAAGTGGTCTGGTTTCTTCATGAAAACTGGATAAGGATCTGAAAAAAAAAAAAAAATCTACAAAACCTAAATATTGCAACTATTAATAAACTAATATTTTTCCAAAACAGTAACTAATATACTTTCTGCGAACTTAAAAAAAAAGGTACGATTTTGTGTATAAATATAGGTAACATAAATTATAATAGGTTTTGTGGCTCCAGCAAGGCTTAACAAGTGAAAACAATTGTTGACATTTTTTTTAGACAATTACTAATCATTTCTTACCGAAACCTCCTATTTCTTGCTCCCAGCACTTCTGGAATGACCATATTCAGGATTGTTCGGATTCTTTTGGTTACTGTGATTATCCAAATCCCTTTGGGTCGGTGAATTGCCAGACGAGCCGTAGTTAGAAGTGGCCCTGTAAGAAAAAATAAATGAGATAATTTCAAATAAAACTATTAAAATTTAAAAAAATTACCAGTCACTTGGACGTTCGTCCATGCCTCTGCTTGAATAGAATTTCTCGTTGTTGGTGTTCAATTGACCCGAACGGTTGTCCAAATTTTTTTGGTTTCCAGACATTTTTATTTCTATTTTCTAAACAATTTAACTTGAAACTTAACAGAGATAATGTTGGAAATTAAGGCTTCCGCCAGTATTTATAGAATAAACTGAATGGAAGGGGCCACTTGTTTCAGTGGAAAACTTTGAATGTTGATACCCTAACTAAAAAATCATATCGTCTTTGTTGTACTCATTGATAATGTTCAGTTACAGCCTGAGAGCGATAGCAATTCTTAAAGCTTGATAGTGCACTTCTCGGTGATTCCCCTACTTCCGAAATGATTTACCGCGAACTGTATTTTTTTGCCGACACGTAGGTGTTGAAGAAAAGCAGGATTGCTCTTGACCTTGTTGTTGTTATTGTGCACTTTTGGTAGAAATAAACAACGATAACACATTATAAGTTAGCGAAATTGTTGCTTTATTTTTCAATAAAATTTTAACTAAAATCTTCTAGAAAATTTCTTTATAAAATGTTAGACGGACCAAGGAGAAATTTAGAATTAGGTAAATAAACTGAATGCAAATTATGTTCTAGATTCTGAAGCATGAATATTGGTTTGAATGACCAAATAAATCTCACGACTGTAACTTTAAAGAAACCCACTCTAAAAATTGCATTTTGAAGCATTTTTGGGAAAATTACAATCTCATTTTTGTTCTATTATAATGCTACCATCAGATAGGTACTTAGTGAATAATTGTCAAATAACTAATATTTATTACATAACGATTAATCTTATCGATACAAAAATTACCTACCACATTAGATCTTGAAGGTTCGTTTTTCACTGAATTGGCTGGCTTATCAAAAAACATACACACGCGAAATTAGTTTTATTTTCTCCATCATTAAAAAATATATTGAAGAAGCAATTAACTTTTGCCATTTTGTTGATATATGGAATTTAATGGAATTGGGCATAGATTATTAAAAGTGAAGTAGGTATAGGTACCTAGAGAAGCGGGAACCACCCAATACTTCTTTATGTTTATTATACTTATACAGGGTGGCAAAATAAACGTTATGATTTGATTACCTATTGTTTTATAACTTTTTTATTAAATTTTTTAATTTCTCTTTCGTTTTGGAATTTTGTAAAGAAGACTTAGGGAATTTAAAATGGAACAATAAACGATACAACAACGAACAAAAATCCGTGTTGGACCCTCCGTGTCAACAATAAATCGTCTAGTTGCAAATAGTCGGGGAGCTGGCGTCGAAAATATGCAAGAGTTTTCGCAAGGCTCATATTTTCAGAATGAGTAGCATTTTAGTACTACAAAGCTAGGCTACAGTCAGCAGTTCCAGTTCCGGGACACCTGGCGCTGAGATGCGCGCAAAGGTGTATTTTTAATCAACACCTCGCAACAGTTTTCGCAAAGCTGAAAATTTGCAAAGAGCATGCGAATATAATGTAGAACCATAATTTAACAGTCAGACAAAGAAATACGGGGACACGTAGAGTCAGCGCGACTTTGAAGTGGTCAAAAAAATGACGTCACCGAAAGTGTTTTCGCATGGCTGAAATTTGGCAAGGTAATAGTAAAAACAATATATTTATTGAAAAAAACAGTCAGACACTTCTATGTCGGGACCCCGCCAGTCAGCAGTCGATTAAAGGGATATAGGTGGTAGCGCGCGTCAATAGGCATATATCCATGTCGAATAATAATTTCACCAAAAGTGTTTTCGCATGGCTGAAATTTGGCAAGGTAATAGTAAAAACAATATATTTATTGAAAAAAACAGTCAGACACTTCTATGTCGGGACCCCGACAGTCTGCAGTCGATTAGAGTGATATAGGTGGTACCGCGTCATTAGGCATATATCCATGTCGAATAATAATTTCACCAAAAGTGTTTTCGCATAGCTGAAATTTGGCAACGTAATAGTAAAAACAATATATTTATTGAAAAAACAGTCAGACACTTCTATGTCGGGACTCCCTCAGTCAGCAGTCGATTAAAATGATATAGGTGGTAGCGCGCGTCAATAGAATTTTACTCTATATACATATCTTATACATATATCCATTTCGATGAATAATTTTATTTTTATAATTTAAATTATTTGGAATCGGAAACGGTAAAATAAAATTGTACATGCAGTTAAAAAGTTTGCGGTTAGAAAAAAGCCCGATTCGTATAAATATTGCTTGACCATTTAATCAGCAGTACTGTGATAGTATACCTATAGTAATTAAATAAATTCAGTTTTAATTATATTTATTGTAGTTTCATTAAATACTTAATCTACGTCGGTGTCATTATGACACATTTAGCATTGTCATTTGAATGTCATTAGGTCCTTCATAATAGCACTAGTGCGTTTAAGAATTCATAATAACACCCAAATTTTGAAATGAAAAATATACAAAAAGAAAGTTAGTTGCCAGAAAAACCTTTTCAATAATGCTGTCTCTATATTCGAAGAGACACTTTCGAACTCAGAATCACCAATAATAATATTATTTTCCACTATAAAATTGAATTTATGGCACAAAAATGGACTCCAATATTGAAGCTGCCAAAATCAAAATTCTAAAAACCAACAAGCAGGTTCTCGACTTGTACGGGCACCTGCTAAATTTCAAATTTTAATTTGAAAAGTTTTTGCTATTTCAAGGCAAATCAAATCTATTTGAACCATTGTAGATTAAATTTTGAATGATACACGTTCGATATGAACTTTATTAATGAAACTTGTGTAACTAAACCACTCGGCTAACGCCTCGTGGTTTAACGTTACACGCGTTTCATTATGGCGTTCATATCGAACTTGTATCATTAATAACTATATAATCATCGCCGATTTTATAAAATACAAAAAAAAAATTCTAATCACATCTGCCGCTTCCCTTCCCCTAATCTCGACCTAACAGTCCCATAATGAAGTTTCCGAATTCGAATGCATATACGCCTTATTCAAGTATAAGCGCTTACGCTTTTACGCTTGCAACTTACAGGTTTACACTTACTCATTAAGAGAAAAAAAAATGTATTTTACCGTTTCCGATTCCAAATAATTTAAATTATAGAAATAAAATTATTCATCGAAATGGATATATACCTCGTTATACAAGGCGTCATTCAGTTTTCTTTAAAGTTAAAAATTTGAAAATTGGGTGGACCGGGTAACTTATTGAGACGCATATTTTTCGTAAAAAAACAATTGAATATCACTTCCGGTTACTCCGGAAATGGACTCAAGTCAAGAAATTTTTATGGAACCCTGTATATTTTTTTGCACAGTTGGATAGAGCTTAAAATTCCCTTTTCAATAACATATCACAACTTGCATTTGTTTCCAAGATGGCGGCCTAAGAAGGTATTTTTCTTAAATTCAATATGGCGTCATTCTGACGTAACCGATAATGTTTCTGTCAAACAAACACTTTCAACAATCCATAATTTTTAGATTTGAAATGGTTTCAGATCGAATTTGAAAAAAAAAGGATTTTGCTTAAAAACAAGGGCATTTCAAAATTTCTTTGAAATGCAAATTTTAGTTTCAAATTTTCTAAGAATTTTGAATAGGAAGAGGTACTTATTAAATTCTAGAATTAAAGTGTGTCCAATGGCCTACCGAAAAATGTCTACCAAAATGCATATTCATTTTTCTGTTAGGTATTCAAAGGCTAGGTCAGAATGCCGCCATATTGAATTTAAGAAAGTGCCTTCTCACGCCGCCATCTTAAAAACAAATTCCACTTATCATATGTCATTGAAAAGGGAATTTCAAGCTCTATCCAACTGTGTAAAAAAAATATACAGGGTTCCATAAAAATTTCTCGACTTGGGTCCATTTCCAAAGTAACTGGAAGTGATATTCAATTGTTTTTTTATGAAAAGTGTGCGTCCCAATGACTTACCCATTCAACCCGATTTTCAAATTTTTAAATTTAAAGACAACTGAATGACGCCTTGTATAACGATTTCGTTGTCACCCGGTATAGAGTAAAATTCTATTGACGCGCGCTACCACCTATATCACTTTAATCGACTGCTGACTGAGGGAGTCCCAACATAGAAGTGTCTGACTGTTTTTTTCAATAAATATATTGTTTTTACTATTACCTTGCCAAATTTCAGCTATGCGAAAACACTTTTGGTGAAATTATTATTCGACATGGTTATATGCCTAATGACGCGCGCTACCACCTATATCACTCTAATCGACTGCTGACTGGCGGGGTCCCGACATAGAAGTGTCTGACTGTTTTTTTTCAATAAATATATTGTTTTTACTATTACCTTGCCAAATTTCAGCCATGCGAAAACACTTTCGGTGACGTCATTTTTTTGACCACTTCAAAGTCGCGCTGACTCTACGTGTCCCCGTATTTCTTTGTCTGACTGTTAAATTATGGTTCTACATTAAATTCGCATGCTCTTTGCAAATTTTCAGCTTTGCGAAAACTGTTGCGAGGTGTTGATTAAAAATACACCTTTGCGCGCATCTCAGCGCCAGGTGTCCCGGAACTGGAACTGCTGACTGTAGCCTAGCTTTGTAGCACTAAAATACTACTCATTCTGAAAATATGAGCCTTGCGAAAACTCTTGCATATTTTCGACGCCAGCTCCTGGACTAAAATTTTCAGCAAAAAAGTTGACTAAGGAACCTCCGTGGTGCCGGAAGACCACGTAATGAAATTCGTGCCATAACTCTTGAAATTTTGCAAAAAATTATGCAACATGTGTCGGAAAGAGCACGACTTTGCGGAGCAGAAAATGGCAGACACTTGCTAGATGTCATTTTTCACATTTGAGTCAAAAATTTTCTCCATTCATAAGGTATTTAAAAAAAAAATGAAAAAAAAACTCGGAGACACAGGCAGTTATTTTATTTAACTAGTTGCAGATTGCAGTGAACACCAAGAGATTATCGCAACTAGAATGCATAGGTATGCTCTTTCAGTGGTATTTTTGCTGGAAATTAACTAGGTAAATAGAAGTTTGAAACTGATACCACCACTGTGTACAGTAGGTACGTGTAATTTGTACATAAATTAAAACAATAGACAACACACTTTTCATAGGACTTCCATGGAAAACCCTTATAGATCTTAATTATGAGTTAACTTCTATTAATCGAAGGTATATTATATTATAATACCAGAAAACAGATCACAGATCATGATTCCATTTATCCAAGTTACCTTTTGGTAATTTTTTCCTCTCTTATCGCTATTATGGTAGCCAGTGCATGCAATGTAAATTTCTCCATTATACACACAGATTTAAATAGCCTCGGTGGTTTATAAAAGAAGATACCTACATACAAAGTCTACATATATTTTTTTTTATCAAGGCATGGGATTCACTCACAAATGAAATAGGTACACAAGTATGACTGATTGGTTTTATTCATGTTTTAAATTACTTAAAAAAATAATATTATTGGATTTTCAATGATCCTATGTGATAACTTTTCCCAGTCTGGATACCGTGCTTACCAGAAAAACCCTAACATGTAATTACTAATAACTAAGAGTAATTCAGAAAAAAATGAAAAATGGCAATAAGTGTTATATACATACCATACATTTTATAAGTTTTATACTTATACTTATTTTTTTTCTACACTGAGAGAATTTTCTTGCTGTGGTAGCAAAAAATCTATTAACCGTTAATAAAAACTCTATTTAAATATAGGACAGCCATAGTGCTTTGCTACGGTTAAAAAAATCGCTTTTTTGGAATTACTTTTCAGCTACTAAAAACGTACTTTTCAGTTTTTTAGTGGCTAAAAAGTAAAAATTTACACACTAAAAAGTAATATTTATTGGTTAAAAATTAATTTTTTGCCATTAAGAAAATAGTATATTGTTGTATTAGGAGTAGAAGCTTTACTTTAGCAACATAGAAATTGAATTTCTACCATCTTGACAGGTGTTGACAAAGTGATGTTTTTTTGACGTTTGGAGAAAAAAGTTTTTAACCCTTAAATAGTTATTTTCCTAACAAGTGCGCAAAGTGTTACTTTTCCGCACGCAAACACAGTTATACGAACGACGCGAAGCGGAGTTCGGATGAGTGTTTGCGTGCGGAAAAGACACTTTGCGCACGTGTTAGGAACAAAATTTTTCCTACGAGCCACATATCAGGTGTTAACAACAAAAATTTTAAAAAAAAACGATATTTTGTTCAATTATTTTCAATTATCTTGTAGCGAACCTATTCATTCATCAAAAAATTACATAACAAAAAAACAGGAAATTGAAATCCTGGGTCAGAGCTGTTCATCTTAAAGCGTTTAAATTTGATGGGAAAGAAGTTTGTAGATTCTTGCATGTGGAGAACACAAATCTGACAATGTGTCAAAGTTAATTATATTCAGTGTTTGTATAGATGTTGGCTGATATAGAAACAGAGGAAAAATTTGTCATGATGTGTCAAAGTCGACAGGTGCACTTATTGTTGCTTGACAATTATTTATACTTTTCGGCACTCAGTGCGGATAAGGCCCGTATCCGCACTGAGTGCGGAAAAGTACTACTTTGAGAACGGTAATGCGTGCGGAAAAGTACTACTTTGCGCACGCTCGTAGGAAAAAGTACTTTTCAACTATAAAAAAGTGCATTTTAACTCTTAAAAAAAATGCCTTTTATAAAAGCCGTGTTCGTTTTTGTCATCTTTTTCGTTGATTTGCTCCGGAATTTTGACAGTCACGTAATTTATAAACTGAAACGTTGATTTAAACTGTCTGATCCAGTCATGCCTGTCAAAATTTCGGAGCTAATCGACGAGAAAGATGACAATAACGAACACGGCCAATAAAACACTGATAGTCCGGGAGGTGGTGTCACTTTTGAACTAGTGATCGATCTTCACACGAATTTTTCAGCGTGCGTAGTTCTTCACATGGACATATGAGATCCGCGCGTCAGTCAGTCCAATAGCGGTGGGTGTGGGAGTCTGTGGAACTTGTCAGAAAAACTATGAAAAAAAGTTAATAATCTGAACATGAAAATTTGTTGCAATGTTAATTATTGATAATTAAACGTGAAAATATTCGTCAGTCACGCTACCGACGGGGGAAACATCGTCAGTCAGAGGTTTGAAGTAGTCGGAAAAGTTGGAAAAGTGACCGATCTTCACTCAAAATTGTATGGACTGATTATTTGATTCAAATCAAGCATGAAAATGAACGTCAGCCACCTTTATCGTGGTGGATTCTGTGTCAGTCGGGTTTCCAAAGTCGAGGGCAGTGACCAGGTTTCTTTGACGCGCTGCATCCTATGAAGTTAGACTGACGAATAATCCACCAGCCACGTGCCGACTGACGATTGTTTATTGAATGTCAGACAATTTCTCATTTATTTATAAATTTCAAGGTGATATAGATCACTGAAGAAATGGAAAGTCATGAGCCCAAACAATGTGACGTCATCGTTTTCGATGATTTTCACATAGTCCATGCTATGAAAGAAATTCCTGTATCTTTTGAAAACATCTCACAGAAAATCTTACATTCTTTCACTGCGAACCGCGCAAAAACCATCATATTTGCGTTCGATCGTTACGTTGCCCCATCTATAAAAGATAACGAGCACATAATGCGTGGAAGAGTACCTAGAGGTTAATCGTTTTACCATCAATGGACCTCAGCAGAAACGATTATCGAATTTAAAAAATGATTTGAATAATAATTATTTCAAGGAAGGTGAGATTTTTATGTGAACATTGGAATCAGGACCATATGAGTTCTTACTTTGGTGACCGAACTGTTTTCATAAACCATGAGAAATGTTTCAAGTTCGAAGTCATTGATAATAAGATTGCCAGAACAGTGGAAGAAGATTTGTCATGCTCTGAACATTTGGAAGCTGACTCTAAAATTAGTTTTCACGTCTGCCAATTGAATTTGGATGCTTATGTAACGATACGATGTTCAGACACAGATATAATTATTGTGATTATGCTCGGTATGCATAAAATCACACATCATTTACAGATTTCGATTCTCACAGGACGAGGAAATAATTATCGTTACATAGACGTCACAAAAATATATAAAAAATAAAGTGGAGACTTGAGTGAAGCGTTGCCAGTTTTCCATGCTTTTACTGGATGCGACTTCAACCCCGCTTTCTATCGTAAGGGGAAATAAAGCCTTACGAACTTCTAAAAAAATCAAGAAATTATATCCATACCTTTATTGCTATTTCACAATGGTCTGATGATGATTTGCATTTTTCTGTTTTGGAGGGTTTTAAACTAAAAGCAATTTCGTAGCTTTACCGCCGTGTAACTCTGAATTATATCCGCATTTCTTAAGAACTTCGCACATTGTGCAGATGTGGTGTCTTGCTTCGCGGCACATAACTATATAATTAGTTCGATTGATTATGGCTGGCAAGAAGAAGATGGAAAATATATTTTCAAGTGGTTCGATGGAGAACAGTTACCTGACCTTCAAGATATCACCGATGATTTATCAACAAATCTAACAGGTAATCAAACATTTCATTTCACGTTACTGATCTATTATCTGTTGTCACTCTAAAAATCCGTATTTTTTACAGATTGTCAAGAAGATGCTGACGGAGACGAAGAGTCATCAGATTATGACAATGAAAGCTTTACAGAAGAGTCGGACACCCAGAGTGATAGTGAAACCGATTAATTTCATAAGATTTTTGTATTTTGTATTAGCAATAAAAAAAGAATGATATTTCAGTGAACGCGATATTTTAATTTAGAAGAATAGTGTAGTAACTGTTCATGAATTGAATTTTGAATTTAGTCGCGGTTGCCTGGCGCCTACCAAATATCAAATACAGAGAGCAGAGGTTACTCATGTTGCATTGCATTGTTGACGACATGAGGGCAAGTTTTCAGGGGGGGCCAGCTAAATTTCAGGGAGGGCCCCGGCCCCCCCTGCCCCCCCCCTGGCGTCGCCACTGCCACCTGGTCCTAAAATTTGAGACAAAAGATAGGGATATAACACAAAAAGCAACGTATTTTTGACAGAAATTTACATTTATTAGAAACCAAGTATACTTATACTATAAATAGAGCATTTGTGAGTACCTATTTATATTGATTCAAAATCAGGGATATGGCTACAATGTCATGTAATGTCTGCCCAGCGAATCTGTGTCTACGAGGCAACGGTAAGGGGAATGCAGTTGTCAAAAAAAATGGCTGATTTCATTCATAAAATACCCAGCTGTGTGCGGAACTTTTTGGAAGTGTTATCGTATTGCAACTCGTACACGAAAATCAGCAATTACCAAATCTCCGCCACTGGATATTTCAATATAAATCCATATTCCAAGATGGGAGGATAAAATGACGTGAGCCCTGGCCAATAGCGAGACGTAAGGTGACGTTAGCTCATTGACAACCGTATGGTTCCCCATGACAACGGCGATCCTGCCAAAAACTCCACCAATCAGGTTCATCCAGGACGGATGCTTGCCAAATTGTCAAAAGCTGATGGTATTTTTAGAAAATGTTTATTTTTTACAATAGACCAAATTGAAGAAATCAGGATTAAAATAAGGATAGATCTAACAACCACGTTAAAATAATATTTAGCGTTTTATTATTGTATCAATATTTTGTTATTAAAAAATGGATTTTCAAATTAACTATACTTCATCCCTAGTATTTTCGCTTTTTTATAAATAAACGTGGCAACATGGCACATTTACTTCCGAATTCCTTCCATAGACTCAGATCCGCTGGGCAAACAATAAGCAGTATAAGCATTGACTATGGACTAGATAATCACACAAAATAATATAAATATTAAAAAATTGAAAAAGTCGCGTGCAGCACAGTACACGTGATAGAAGTTACTTATTTATCGATCTCTTTTTCTCTCTCTTCCTCATATTCATCATATGCTTCATCTCACTTGCGAGAAGAAAATTTTATAAATCGTGTCGTGACGCGACCTTGAAAAATCACTCTCATGCGGCCAAAGAAGTATTCACTTCAAAAAAAAAACATTTTTAGAAATATATACCTATTACCTGAATCAACAAAAAAATGTTAGTGTGTCACGATAACGCACATATAGAATTTTTAGTACCCATTTAGAATAACCCCATTTATCAATCACGAATCAGACGAAACAAAAAGTTACCAACAAAAATGAACGTCGATTGCTAATAATACGTCAATTTCATGTACCGGGTGTTTTTTTATCTTTGCTATTATTTTGATCACTTGCAACTTTTTTGTTTTAGAAGTTATCAAGGTAAACAAAAAAACAAAATGTAGGGTTAGTAGCCAAGTTTTTTTTCAAGTTACTCATGAAACAAAACACTATCAATTTTTTGACATATAAGTTACATTATATTTTTTTAAATGGAACACCCTATATATTATATGTATGTTTGATAGAATATCTTATTCTGATTACAATGATATAATACACTCCATATTTTAGTCCACTCGTTTTTGACAAATCAACAAAAAAATAGTAAATTTTTATAAACACTCTCAATAGTTTCAATAATTCTCGTCCCAAATATCAGACCCCCGCCTAATAAGTTTCACTTCATATTTTTGCCGATTTGTCAAAAACGAGTGGACCAAAATATGAAGTGTGTTATATCATTGTAATCAGAATAAAATATTCTATTGAACACACATATAATATACAGGGTGTTCCATTTGAAAATATATAATGTAGGCTTATGTCAAAAAATTGATAGTGTTTTGTTTCATGTGTAACTTGAAAAAAAACTTGGCTACTAACCCTACATTTTGTTTTTTTGTTTACCTTGATAACGTCAAAAACAAAAAAGTTACAGGTGATCATTGATCAAAATGATATCAAAGATAAAAAAACATCCGGTACAAATAGGAAATTCCTAACCTAATTGTATTTGTGTGTTCAAGAAGCGACATACGTTTAGTCACTAGCACGACTGGTACTTCTAAATAGGTATTAAAAATACTAAAGTGTAAACTTACCCATAAAAATTCCCACTCTCTGAAAGCGTTAAACGTTTGACTTCCTATAAGAAGTTTACACATCAATAAATCAATTAAGGTGAGACTCAAAATTGCATTACCTAATATCCATCATAATTTGAAGTACATATTTCTTTGTGATTCTAGTTACAGTACGTATGAAATAAACATGTATCGACATTTTAGAATAAGCACAAACTACAAGCACAGTAGATATATTTTCTACATTTTGTACTTTACAAGATCAATTATTTTTAGGAATAAACCTGTAACGTGCAAATTATTTAAAATTGAATCCCAACATACAATACACGAGCTCAGATTTTCAGTATTCATCCAACATTGTCAATATTGTTGACGATTATGCCTGCTTAAAATGAAATGCTTAATTAATAAAATACTTATACTTAACTAGATAAATTATTGCTAATACATATTTGGATGATTTTAAATAGTATGCCTATGAATTGCATAATTAATAAAATACTTATATAATACTTAGGTGCATAAATTATTGCTCATATTTGGATGATTTTAAATAGTATGGCTAATATCTTAAAAATTATTGCTATAAAAATGGTTTTTGGTTTGTACCGCGATTTTCACTAAAATTATGAGATTAAAAATACTGTATGGACACAAATACATATAACAATTAGACTAGAAACTACTTCTAGGTTTGTTCTATAGGTTCTAGTGCTAAGGAGTTTCACCTATAAATACAGAAAGCAGGGGTTTCACAAAATTATTATGCCTTTAAAGTGACGCCAATAGTCACTCACATTCCAATAAACACTAATAAGAAATTTATTTTTGACATAAATATAAGCACTAAATACTGAATAGCTAAATTATTACTAAAATTTGGATAATCTCAAAGATCAAAATGCTATGTTATTTTACCTCAAAATTCAAATTATTGCTCTAAATATCATTTTGGGTTTGTAGTGAAGTTAAGGGAATATCAAATTACCCAAAACAACTCTGAGTTTATCACTTTTTCTAAGGATAATATAGCAGGGAACCACTCAGAGGGATACTTATCTTAAAACAAGTGAAGTGCCAAAAAAGAAACATCTTTATCTATTCTCACCTAAAACATGGGGTTTATTGGGTAACTCTCCCAACAACTTTCCTCTCCAATAATGGAGCGTTTTCAGGCTTCCACAAAAAGTAAAAATAATGGCAATCATAAAAGCTGGCTTAATATATTCGAGACAACTGACCGACATTTTGTACCATTTAGAATATAAACATTTCTATATAGAGTATGAGCTTATGACAGATTTTCTCTTTTTGGGGATTTCAAATACTGAAAATTATGTGATTTATTTATATTATGTAGCGAACGGACGTGTGCTAGGCCTAGGCATATGGAAAATTTACTTTCCTCTTGCAGCTGCTGGAAAATATACCTCAACAGCTGACCAGCTTATGGGAATTTTTTTTTCTGGTTCCCAACGATATCAAATTTAATTTTGTCGATTGCCATAAGCCAGAAAACGATCAGCAACCGAATATTCTTTCACAATATCGCGCCCTTATTTCAACCCTTTCAGTACGTGCAAATCTTATGGCTTTGGTTTTTCACCATTAAATGGTTATATAATGTTAATGTGTTAAAATACCATGCCCCGAAAACAGAAAATCGGTCAGCAAAATCTGTCATTAGCTGACGCCAATGCAATAAATTATTAAAAATTAAAATATATTATGTACTAAGGAACAGAGAAAAATAATCAGTCATTTACTTGCTAACATTGAAACTTGAGTATTGGAGAATTTTCACTTATAAATATAGATAGGAGGGATGCATTTAGAATAGAAGAATGACGATTACGACGAATCATACATATAGTTCAATTTATATCAATGTTCATCTCAAATTCCTGCAATTTGCATTATTGAAAATGAAGGTTAACACCTGCTTTTTAGCACAACGGCAAATCTTCGTGATATAGTGCTCTGTGTTTCTCCAAATTTGGTGCCTTGCCGCGGTAAGCACAATACTGACATTTGATAATCCTATCCTTATCATCAATACGAACATTTTTCAGTGTTTTATGACTTTCTTTGCGATGTATGCTTAAGTGACGCCGTACCAAAGTACTGAATGTGCAATCTTTGCAGTGGAGCCTTAAATCTTCATCTGTCATGTGCTTTTTACGTTTGTGGTGCTTCAATTTTAAAGCGCTGCCGCATATGTAGTGGCACATGTCACAGCTAAAATTTGAATCAATTTAAAAAGGTATTTTTCTCATTAAAATAATTAGTTACCATTGGCTTATGCGATGTATTTTCTTGTGAATTGGCAAGTAAGTCTTGTCTGTGGTTGTGAAGGAGCATACATCACATTGGGCAATGGCTTCAGTGTTATGACTGTAATGATTTTCTCTGCAATGTATGTCCAAGAGACGCTGTTCCAAAGTACTGAAGGAGCAATCTTTGCAGTGAAGCCTCAAATCTTCATCTCCTGTGTGCTTCCGTTTATGGTGCTTCATTTTTAAGGCGCTGTCGCATATGTAGTTGCACATGTCACAGCTAAAATCTGAATCGATTAAAAAGGGTATTTTCTCATGAAAATAATTGGTTACCATTCCCATTGCCTTGGGCAACGGATTTTCTTGTGAATTGACAAGTAACTCTTGTCTGTGATTGGGAAGGAGCATACATCACATTGGGCAATGGCTTCAATGTTATGACTGCAAATAAGTAATTTTTTTTTTTGCACTTTGATAAAAGTTATTAGCCATTTTTATTATGAACAAAAACAAAATGCCACATTTACGTAAAGTTTGTTTTTTATTTAAAGATAATTCCCCAAATCAAAAATTTAGTAACTATGTTGGCAACACAAGCCTTTTCTACATAAAAAATTTGAAAGCATTGACAATTTTACATTGTATTGCATTTTGATTTTATCTTTAAAAAAAAAACAGACTTTACTTTCCAGCCAGGAAATAAAAGTATCATTTATGTACAGGGTGTTTCAAACTCGAGCCACATAATTGGGATCTCGGAAACGGTGAAAGATACAGGATTCGTTGAATTAGGGCAAAGTTGCGTAACAAAATGCCGCTTTGATATTGATATTTAGGATATTCCGAATACTTCCGGAGATATCCGGAAAAAGCCGAAATTTTGCGAAATTGTTTTTATTTTTTCCTGACTTTATTTGAAGTTATGTTTCGAAAAACATATCACATCATCATAGCCACTTTTCCTCCCTTAGATGCTACCATCTTCAACTTTTTTTTTTTTTTTTGATACGACTTTGGATTTTTTATTTCAGATGTTTAGACCTTCTTGTACTTTTTGACTTTTTGCAACTTTGACAGGCTGTGAAACCTGAACGGGTAATTTTAGAGGTTTTACGGCCTGTCAAAGTTGCAAAAAGTCATTTTTCAACTGTCAATATTTCCAAAACAGTTGAACTTAGGTATAGGGTATATCACATGAAATCTGCTCAGAATTTTACGTAGAATCCAAATATGTAATCACATACAGGGTGTTCCATTTGAAATAGCGATGTTGCCACTGGTTTAGAGTAGAAGCGGCAACACCCCATGGTTAAAAATGTTTTTATAGTGTAGATTATGGTCGTTTATCCCAGTTGCCAAATTTTCAAAATGATCCGCTTTTTAGTTCTCCATAAACGCCATCCACCGTGGGACACCCTGTATATGGCACATACAAATAAAAAATAAAAAAGCGAACAAACAAAAATAAAGAATAAAATATTTTATTTGCAACCATATGTAATCTCGACATTACTGACTTTTTAAAAATTTGAAAGTGACACTTTACCTGTGTCACTTCCTTCTTCGATTTCCCTCACCGATTTCCCTATTCGACTTCCCTCACCGATTTCCCTCACTGTAATTTATTTACCTTTGCTGGCAGCAATGAGAACATGTCAGGTAAAAACCTCAAAACAGTGAATGACACATTTTGGCATGTTTGTTTTATTTTTTTAATATTGAAAAAATTAAATAACTAATCATAATTAATGGTGTGTTTGCAAATAAAATAGTATACAAACCTCGGAGAAAAGCTTTAATTTTTGTCTCGAGATTAATAGTCAATCTCTCGACAGTAATGAAACACTTCCCTACTCGTTATGTAATATACTATTATTTACGATCATACATGTAATGTTGAGTTGACTTTACTGACTTTTAAAAAGTTTGAAAATGTCACTTTTTTGACTTATACTTTCGGCCCACGTGTCCAAAAAAGGCTCAGAAGATCCGCCTCCCCTGAATACTCAGGAAAGAACCCACAATCGTCAACTTTGACCTGTAATAAAGTTCTAAATCTGTCAAGTACAAAGTTTATAATTTTTTTTAAATATTAAATTTGCTAATAGTTGTATTCCTTTCACACCTAGGAGGAGCTCCGAAACAGCTCCGGGGCTTCACGCCCCTATTCCTTTCGAAAAGTGTTTGTTACACCACGCATCTGTTCCCTGCAAATCGGGGGCGACTGAACACCGGAGCGAGTAGCTCGAGTGTTTCAAACTCTTGAAAGGAATACAACCAAACAACTAATAACCGCCTGCCCCTGCGAGTCAAATAAATACTGTTCCTAAAATAGCATCTTTGGTCAAATTAATTTGCGGGAAAAACAGAATCGCGCACTAGTGCGGGAAAGTGACATTTTCGGAACTAAGATGCGTGCGGGAAAGTGATAAAAAATGCACGCTCGTAGAAAATAGTTATTTTCCTAACAAGTGCGCAAAGTGTTACTTTTCCGCACGCAAACACAGTTATACGAACGACGCGAAGCGGAGTTCGGATACGTGTTTGCGTGCGGAAAAGACACTTTGCGCACGTGTTAGGAACAAAATTTTTCCTACGAGCTTCATATCAGGTAGGTAACAACAAAAATCAAAAAAAAAACGATAATTTGTTTAATTATTTTTAATTAACTTGAAGGGAACCTATGCATTTATCAAAAAATTACATAACAAAAAAAAAATATAACAGAAAATCATCGTCAGAGCTCTTCATCTTAAAGCGTTTAATGGCGATTTCCATTTGTCATCAGTGCCGCACTGAGTGCATCCGCATCTTTTTCTAAAAGCATGTAACATGTAAGGATAAGGATACATTTTTTTGCCCTGTTTCGACAAATGGAAAACGCTATAAATTTGATGAGAAAGTTTGTAGATTCTTGCATATAAATAGAAAACAAATCTGACAATGTGTTGAAGTTAATTAAATTTGGTGTTTGTAGGTATAGATGTTAGCTGGTACAGAAACAGAGGAAAAATTTGTCATCATGTGTCAAAGTCGACAAGTGTACTTATTGTTGCTTGACAATTATTTTTACTTTTCGGCACTCAGTGCGGATAAGGCCTGTATCCGCACTGAGTGCGGAAAAGTGCAACTTTGAGAACCGAAATGCGTGCGGAAAAGTACTACTTTGCGCACGCTCGTAGAAAAAATATTGTTCCTAACTCTCGCGGAAAGAGTCTTTTTCGCACCCGATTACTAGCCTCACGTTACGGCGATGTGGCAAGTAAACTTAAACTCAACCTTCGGTCAACTGGACAATATAATAGCGGCCCTTAGTCCTTGGATTTTTATGTTTAAACCAGGGTGGATAAAAGTCATGACTTCTATTAAAAAAGTCCAAAAAGTTAGATTTTTTGATTTAAACCAGTTTGAATTGATAGTGATAAGATATTTTGGGAAATGAAGAAATAAACCCAATTGACAATAAAGAAGTCTATTCATTATATTGCTTCGTTACAACTGTTAACTTTGCACCTTCGTCAACCCCCAATCGATTTCTCGCATCGGTGTGTATCATATCAAAATCGAACGTTGAGCAAATGCATTTCACGATGATCCAATTGCATAATTTCTTCTTTTACAAGCAAATTAACTGGTGTTTTGATATTGAAATGGTATGTCCACGACTGAAAGTCATAAATTCCATCGATTGCAGCTTTCCCCATCACTAGCCCCACAAACGGGTGACTTCGACTGATGAATCTCAGTAGAAGCTGGAGAAAACTCAGCGAAAATTTTTTTGCTGTGCATTCCAATGCTCTTTCTCCTTATTCCGGTGTCAAAACTATATTTTCATCAGCTTCATTTTCACCTCCTCCACCTTCAACTTTAGTTGTAGTGCTGGTCATAATTAAAATGCGATTTATTATTTTCGTAATTAATTTTACGACCCATTTTTATGACCTGCCAACTCTGATTCATTCGGCTGGTAAATAAAAGTAAATACACACGTTTCACAAGTTTTCAATAAACTTTATTATTAGGCCAGGAAAGAGAGGTTGAACCTCGCAAACTCGACACAAGTTCTGTTTTATTTATTTTTTTTATGGTAGGCCAAGCGCTGCTTATTAAGGGTCTAACTTTTTCCAACAAAATTTCACCCTGGAAAATCCCCCCTTCATCCCCCTAAAGGTCGTTTTTTTGCGGTTTTTCCGAAACGTAGCGCTTCCGTTACTTTTTACAAAAAAATACTTCAATAGTAAATTAAAGAGGAATTAATTCTCTACAATTTATCCAGCGACATTATATGTCTGTCTATTACCTACCCTTTATTCGGGGTGGCGCTCTAAAGTTTAATGACCTTGAAAAAAGATATTTTGGATTTATTTTTTTTTACTGAACAGTCAAGTGAATCCACCACAAACCATACAGCAAATACTCATAAGTAATTGGCCGATTTTTTGCTATGTTTCATTTAAAAACAGTTACCCGTTCAAGATATACAGGGTGTTGAATTATACAAATTTTTCAATATCATTCCTACATCAATAATCCCTGAAAATTTGAACAGCCTAGCATTAGCCCTTCAGATGATATGAAAAGAGGTTGTTTAAATTTCAATACCCTGTATATCTTAGAGGGGTAACTGTTTTTAAATAAATCATATACCAAAAAATCGACCAATTATTTATGAGTATTCGCTGTATGGTTTGTCGTGGTTTCGCTTCACTATTCAGTAGAAAAATAATAATTTCCAAAACAACTTTTTTCAAGGTCATTCAACTTTAGAGCACCACCCCGAATAAAGGGTAGGTGATAGACATATGCTGTCCCTGGATAAATTGTAGAAAATTTGGTCCTCTTTAATTTACTATAAAGGCATTTTTTGTAAAACGTAGCGGAAGCGCTACGTTTCGGAAAAACCGCCAAAAACGACCTTTAGGGGGATGAAGGGGGATGTTCCAGGGTGAAATTTTGTTGGAAAAAGTTAGACCCCCAATAAGCAGCACTTAGCCTACCAGAAAAAAAAATAAAACAGAACATGTGTCGAGTTTGCGAGGTTCAACCTCTCTTTCCTGGCCTATATGGAAATTTTCCATTCCAATAAAAACTGTAGATTATTAAAATATCATTTTGGCACAAACATCGAAATTTTTGACAAAATACCTACCCACAAACTTAACACACAGTAACCAAATTTTGGTCACAAACGCCTTCTAGTTCTAAAATGTATTTTTTCTACAACTGTCAAAAAATGATGATGTTCGCACACTCATGACAGTTTGCGAAGTGACACTTTTTTTCCCAGGTATTGATTTTTTAACGTTCCCATGACGACGTGCGCGAATTAGCTATTTCGCGCACGCGTGCGCGAAATAGCTAGTTCGCACACTGGGTGTCATGGTGACACATACCTGTCAGGAAATCAAAAATAATTAAAATTCACCTACCTTTGATTGAAA